CGCTTCTCACGGGCGGGGGGGGGTGGCGGTGGCGGTGGCTGGCCGCCCGGGGAAGTCCGTCCGTCCGTCCATCCTTCCTTCCTCTGGAAGGGAGGCGAGGAGCGCGACGGAGGCTTTGCTCCTCGCCGGGCGTCGCTTCAGACGGGATGGGGCGAACCGGTGTGTGTGTGTGTGTGTGACGGGGACGGGAAAAGGTTTTGTGTTTCCAGCAAGGCCTCGCTCGGATTGAAGGAAGGGGTTGGGTGTTTCTTTTCGTTCTGCAGGCAGTGAAGGCGTCGGTGGAGGGAAGGTCCGCCCCTGGCGTCCTGGCAGATGCCCGGTGAACGCCTCGTCCATGCCCGGTGAACATTGCCCACCCCCTCGCCTGCGGAGCCCAGGTGAGGGATGATGCTCCCCCGTGGGCACCGCTGCCTGCTTTCTCCTTTCCCTTTCCCCCTTGCACAGGGCGTTGTGATAGACGTAGGGATTAGGAATGTTGGGTGGCTTTAAAGACTGGTGGATATCTTGGAGGCCCCAACATTTCTATGGTATCCTTGTTTATGTCTTGCCTCTCCTCTGCAGATCTAAAAACACCAATACATAGTCATTTCCCCTGCCCCAGGTTTTGCGATCACAACAATCCTACAAGGTAGCTTAATTAAGAGATGCTGGCTGGGCCCAAGCTCACCAGAAAGCTTGATGGGCTATAAACTGGTTGTCCTCAGTCTAACCACTATAGTCCATTGGCCTCTTTTCAGGCGTGTGAATACATGATGGAACTAAGGGAACTAAAAGGAGTGCAGATCTCTGACATTTCTTTGAAACACGAGCTTGTACACAGAAATGGCACAGAGTTTCTGTATCATCATATAGTGTGTGTGGTCCCATTATTGCAGTTTTCCTTTTTTTTACATCTATGAATGTTGGCATAAGTCTGCCGAATTAAGATATCACTTTACATATTTGACAGTATGGTCTCTGGCTCTTGAAACTTGTGCCACAAAAATCTGTCAAGTTTCAGGGTGCTGCAAGATGCTGCTGGAAGCCCAGCAGGGATTTTGCATAGTGAGTAAACCGATAGGAGCGGGGAGAAATCCCAGTAATAGCCACATCATCTTCATTTTTGGTCAGATGACTCATGATATTTAATTTTGGCCTGATACGATATTTAATGAAGCTTATTCCCACATCACTCTGTGGAGGATTCTTTTGTAAGTCTCACTCCCCAAGTCAGAATATGCAGAGTTGCAGCTTTATGTTTCTTGAAAATGTGTGTTTGTATTTCTCATAACTTTACAGTTTTTCTTACTAAGCAGTTCTGATTGATTTTCAACACCACACTCTTTCATGCTTACTTGTTTCTGTAACTGGTTTCTAACTATGAAAGTAGATATGCATCATAGATTGCAATTCACTTGCTGTAAATAGTAGAAATGTTGAAATTAATGCTAAATTTCAGTATACATTACCAAAGACTTTTGTGGCTATTGACAAATGGTTTCCCATCTTGTGTATTTTGTGGTTATCAATAATTACATGTAGAAATGTGATGTGGGGCTCTTGGAAAAGTTTCTACAAAACTTTGGAATGCTCCAAATAGAGGCTGATTATATTTAGCACATTTATTTAACGTATATTTATTATTTGCCAAATGAATGTTTTGAATGTTCCAAGAGCTTGTAAGTGTTTGAACTCATACAGTGATTAGAGTATTGGGCTATAACTAGAAGTGTAGAGGCTGGGATTCAAATGTCTACTCAGCCATGAGAATCCCTATGGAATCTTGAAGTGGGCACACACTCTTACCTTTCCCTCCCTTGCATTGTGTTGTAAATCTAAAACACACTGATGGATCACATGGAGTCTTAACAGGACAAACAGTACGTTGCAGTGGTGAGCAAAACTTAGACTAAGATATGAAGTACGTCTGCAAAGCCACTTTAATTAAATTAAATTGAATTGAATTAAATGAATTATTTGATGAGGCTGTGGTAAAGCCTCTAAGACCTTAGGAAGAAGGGAGCTGTATACATCCTGAAATTTTCTAGCAAAGCTTGAACAATATTCCTGGTTAGAGTTAAAGCTTTAGGTGGAATTTTCTAGCAAAGCTTGAACAATATTCCTGTCCACCTAAAGTTAAAGCTTTAGGTGGACAGCCTTTATGTCTTGCCAGTCTAGTTAGTGTCTCCACAAGTTAGATGTGAAAAGTAACTTTTCCTCTTCACCTCCACACATAGATCATGCTGTCCTTCTGGGCCTTTCCTGCTTCGCCTCAATTTTCCTTTGATAAATGAATTGTGTTTCCTCCTACTCTTCGTTGAAATCCAACCTTATTCACATAATTTGAAATCAGTCATATAGTTACTTTTGTGCCTATGGTAATGTTAGCAGTGCCACTGTAATTGGCTAGCTTTGGGCCTGGAAACAAATTTTTGAGGCAAGTCTTAAAAGACCCAGAATTCCTTGATGGCTCAATTTATAATGTAAAGAGGCAAAAATGCCCAAATGTATTTCCTCAGCTCACTGACCCCAAAATATTGAGCTCTGTAGGAAATGAGCCAACATGTTACAGAAGATTATTTTATATTTATGAGTATATTAGTTTAGATGTATTTTTTATATCCACTACCATATCTTGGAATCTCAGATCAAGGTACCAAAAAAAACACCTAATTTAAATAATATAAAACTATTAGAAACGTATAAAACTAGTTAAAGCTGTTTTTAAAAGGTGTTTTAAAACATTTAGAATAATTTCAGTGACTTAAAACTACTTTTAAAATGTACACTAACAACAGTACTGTACTCCACATTGTACTCAAGCCAAGCTCATTGAACCCTGAGGCAACATTGACCAGTATCATTTTTGTTGGCAAAGCAGTGAAATCAGGGTCAGTGCCAGCTGAGTCCCTGGGGAGGAGAATTGTCCTAGTTCTCTGGCTGGGGGTCACAAAACAGAACACATTATAGATCGAATCTTAGTAATTACAATAAATTTCATTGCCTTTGAAAGTGGAGAATCAGTGACACACACACATAGTATACGGGCGAACCGCGCTTAGCGATGCTAATTCGTTCGGAAAAAATTGCTGCTAAGTGATAACATCGCTAAGTGAAATAAAAAGCCCATAGAAACGCCTTAAGACACGATTAATGCGTTCCTATGGGCTTAAAACTCACCGCTGAGCGAAGATCCTCCATAGCGCTGCCATTTTTGGTGCCTCTAAAGCGAGGAATCTGTGCCTGAAAACAGAGGGTGGCCATTTTGTTTACCCAGCGGCCATTTTGAAACCGCCAATCAGCTGTGCGAAAATGGGGGCTTTGTGATGATCGCTTCCCTGCAATCATCGCAAAGCGAAATTCACCCATAGGGACCATCGCAAAGCGATCGCTTTTGCGATGGCAAAAACTCTGTCAAAGCGATTTTGTCGTTATACGGAGCAATCGCTATGCGAGGCACCACTGTATTTATGTAATAAATCTTGCTGAATAATAAAAGCATTACTCTTTTATACCTGTTACTGGTAAGTTTCAAAGTAACATTGAGCATGTGCAAGAATCCATAAATAAAATAAACACTGGAAGCAGCTACAACAGACATCTTTTCTCTGTTAGGCTGTTTAGATCCATTTTCAACGGGGGCCCTAGTACATTTGAAGGGGGACACAGATTGGAAACAATTCTTCATACATCATCTTATAAGGTTCGTTACATGACTTATATGATCCTGATTTGGTCTGTATTTCTTTCATACCATCTTATAAGGTTCGTTACATGACTTATACGATCCTGATTTGGTCTATATTTCTTTCATATTGTTTTTATGGCCGTGGCCAAAAATGCTGAGAATAAACTACGTGATCAGGAAACGTTTATCTATTATAATGCCTCTGCTTGACCTGATGGTGAGTACACTCCTTTTAAGGAGAAAGGTGGAGCAAAATATTTTAAATAAAATAAATAAATAAATAGAAACTTTCTGGATTTGCTGTCATGTCCAGATAAGATCATTTTCACATTCTACTTTCCCACTCTCCACTTTCTTCCTCCACAAACACACACTTTTCCTCCTCACTCGCATGTGGAAAACATTCTGTAAAAATATTTTAAATAAAATAAATAAATAGAAACTTTCTAGATTTGCTGTCATGTCCAGATATGATCATTTCCACATTCTACGTTCCCACTCTCCACTTTCTTCCTCCACAATCACACTCTTTTCCTCCTCACCCTCATGTGGAGAAGATTCTGCAGTCAACAGAAATGGTCATTTCCAAATAATGTATTGCTCCCATTGACAAGGTACTGAGGAAGGCTCTGAGGGTTTATACAGGAAGAAATATCCCGTCCTAGGCATTTCGGGCCTTAAATTTCATCACTAACATGGAATTCAGACAGGAAGCATATTGGCAGGTGGGAAAAGGCGGAGCTGGTATGCAAGTTGGCCGCAGGCACTGTGTAACTCATACTGGGAAAAGGCGGAGCTGGTATGCAAGTTGAAGTTGGCCCCAGGCACTGTGTAACTCATAGAGTTCTCCAGAGGCAGAGGTCAATGTAGGAATACTCCCAGGTTTTGAACCTGCAACATTATTCAAATTGATTACCCAGTTACCCTGTGCCTCACAAAGTCTACATCTAGGAGGATTCAGCTACAGGTTATTGAGCCGTTAGAGCGTCCATCCAGCAAACTGACAACAAGGAGAAATAGAGCTGAGTGTCATCAGCATTCAAATGCCATCCAGCTTATGATCAGGTTAGTCACTGAATGATCGCTACAACAGGTAGCAAGCCTGTTCTATCTGTTTGGCCCAGTGCAAGGCACAACATCTCAAAACTGGCACCACAGTGGATGGATTTTCTTATGAAGGAGATGAAATCCATATTATAGATGATGTCATGTCCCCCTGCCTCTGTAGTGCTCCATAATAGTTTGATGCTGCACTGTTTGTATAAATAGCGGTGTCTGTGCCTGCCTACCTTCTGATAAAAGAGAATCTAAATTTTGCCTTCGGTTTCTATTTTTAGTATTGCAAAATCTCTCCATTATTTATCGTTTGTGGGACAGAGGAAAATGTAGTAGTGCCGTCTCTTTTATAGACCCTGCTTCTCTGTTTAGGTAGGAGTGTAGGTGGAACCATGCAGAGGCATTTCAGTCTTTTTTAAAAACAAGTGTAACATTTACTTCTGTGTCTTTACAGGTTCATGTCTTTTAGATTAAGCTGTTCAGCTAACAGCGTCATGAGCAGAAGCAAGCGTGAAAATAACTTCTACAGCGTAGAGATTGGGGATTCTACATTCACTGTACTGAAACGATACCAGAACTTAAAACCCATTGGTTCAGGAGCACAGGGCATAGTATGGTAAGGCTTTTCCTCTTTAAAAAATATCTTGTGAAGTCTCAGTTTATTTAAAATTGAAATGTAGAAAACTGCGGCTGGGAGATCGGGCTTATAAAAGCCCAGTTCTACAGTTGTAGTGCAAAGTAGAAAGGCAATGAAATAGCTGCAGTGAGATGAGTAGTATTACATTTGGCACAGCCCACTAGGAAATACTGTAGGCTTGGTGTGAAAATGATTGAAAGACCAGCAGTGTAGAAGCAAATCTTGCATACCAGTGCTGATGGTTACATATATTTTAAAATGTGTACTGTACCTGATATTGAGGTATAGAACACAGACTCCTAAATAGGTAGCCCCAGTGAGTGAATTTGTGATTCTTTTTAAAAAATATGTAATGTAACTATGCTGGAGATTTATTTCTGGGATGACTTGGTAGCATCTCAGAAATGGAATCTTTCTATGTATATGTGAGATGAAAAAAAAAAAGTACTACGCTGGAATATTAGGTTTGGCAGCTTCACTGGCTATTGTTCTGTCTCCAGGCACAATCCATAGTGCTGGTGGTGACCTCTAAAGCCTTATAGTTACCTTAAGTCAAGTCTCTCTGAAGACTACAATCCTCCATAGATGCCTGCCTGGGCTTTATAGTCTGTAGGAGAAACTCTTCATTTAATCCTGCCATTGCAAGAAACACATTTAGTGAGCACCACCAGAGTGGCTTCTCCTTGAAAAAAAATAAACCAAAGCCTAATTACATCATGGCTTCTATGGTAAATTTTGCTCTCTCAGATGTCTTACTAGAAGATGTGGCCACACCCCAAATAGATACTCTGATGGTAGTTATAACGTATAAGGCAGTATTTCGTCTAGAATCAAGTGAGTTGTAAATATGTCGGCATGACAGATAATAGACACTGTTGTATGTGGAAGATTTGAGACCTCTTCTGTGGTACTTGGGGGCCTGTGCTGCAGCCATGCTGTTTTCATGGGCTGCTTACAACTCACTGAATGGGAGGCCTGGCAATGCTGCCTGCCTAGCTTGTTTCCTACAGATTTTTCCTGCCAGTGACTTGCCTGTCCTATTCTTCACTAAAAGTCTCTTCCATTTGAGACCACATGCTGACCAAGGGGGATGAACTAGTCAAGGAGAAGGAAAGAGTGGAAACTTTGGTGGAAGTGACCATGTCCTTGTCGTCATCATCATCATCATCATCATCATCATCATCATCATC